TAAATGCCAATTCCAAGCCACATATTTTGAACTAGCATTCCGCCCGCGGCTTCGTCCGCGTGGAATTTTGTCTGTCACAGAAGAACTTTACCGCGCGCGTCTCTGTTTCAAAAACTGGGATAAAAACTATCCTATGTCCTTTCCCGTGACTCAAACTATCTTTATGAAAAAATCAAAATCGGTTCAGTGGTTTAGGCGTGAAAGGAAGACAGACAGAGTTACTTTCGCATTTATGATATTAGTATAGATAGTATAGATAAGGTGTAGAGTGGTTTAAGTAAGAGATTCTAGAGTTAGGGCGTGTAAAGTGTAGTTTAGCTATACATGAATTACCTTTTAGACAGTGTGAGCCATTTGGTCTCTACGCTAAGCAACATTTTTAACCGACTTCAACAAAAGGAGGAGGTTCTCAATTCGGTTGGTATAATTTTTATGTGAAAATGTTTTTGGTGGATAAAATTTTATCTTCAATTGGAATAATCACAAAAGTGTAACTGGATTGGCCACACTCTCCGAATGGATCCCGTGGTCGCCCCAAGCAAACTAGGCGGCGCACTGTTGCAGACGAGGCGAAAAAAATCGGCAAGACCTGGAGCGAGATCAAACGCGAAGCTCAAGACCGAACGCGATGGAGCACTGTTGTGGACGCCCTCTGCCCCATCTAGGGGACATAGGACCTTAAGTCAAGTAACTTAAAGTAAGGCTTACATTCAAACTGAAGTTTTAGTCACGTTTCGAGCGTGATTTCAGAATACGATCTTTTTCACTACTAACTAATATCACATTTATGTAGGTACTCGTTATCGAGTAAAAATGTCCGCTCCAGTCAGACGGTAAAAGTTAAGTTCGGCCAAGTCGCAACATGTAATGTCTTTGACTCAGCTTTGAAGCTGCAGTTGGATGCAGCAAGAAAGTAATAATGCCGTAGCCAGAGGCGAGAGAACCCCACGACGGAGGTAGGCAAGGGGACAGATGGACGTTTTCACAATCAATACCTAATTTTTAAGTGACCCCTATGGTAACACATAACAGGAATTTTGTTTTCATAGGATCACTTAAAAATTATAGTTTGAGGGTGAAAACGGGCGAGAGACTCTTTTTACACGACTACGCCAGAAGGAGTGTTATGTTTTTTACAAATCAAATTGCGATAAACCATTCAACATTTGTTTAGACGTCAGTAGTGTTTGTTGCCCTTCACGCAAAAACTACTGAACGGACTTTGATGAAAGTTTAAAGTATTAATGTTTATAACTCAGACTAACATGTGCTATAATCTATGTAGTAGGGAATTTAGTGCAAGAACCCCTCCACTTTGGTATAGAAGGCTCATTTTTGCACCAGTTGTTATTTGGGTGCTCCTGAGTAGATTTCCGTCGGTAGACATCGGGAGCCCCCCCTGTGGTAGCAGGGGGAGGGGGGGCAAGTTTCCTTCTGCCGCGCTTCACTTTAAAGCCCATATCTTCAAAACTATGGGTATTAGGGCAAGTGTGGTGTCATTTTCGGATAATTAAAGGATGGCGAATTCATTTCTAAAACAAACTTTTTGCCTTTTCATACAAAAAAATAGAAATATGGAGTAAAATTCACAAAAACCAAAAAGTATTTTTTTATATAAACGTAGTTTACTTTTAAACCACTGGAGATAATCTAATAAAAAAAATATGTCCTGAAAGCTACATTTATCAGGATTATAAATATATACCATTGTATGGTACTTTTTTTGAAAAAAGTAGGTGAAAAAAAATTTTTCTTCAGGACACAGCGGGCGAATTTTAATGCGCGTCGAAAAAAAATATTTATTTTATCCATGAATTCATACTATTTGGTTCATAAGCAAGTAAAGATTATTATTTTAGAATTTATTTAGAGTTCCTGGCACATCATGCTACCATGATTTGTATTTTTTTTTCAATTAATTTTGAACTCTATGTGTAAGACATAAGGTTCAAAATAGTTTAATTACATTGTATTAATGAAAATATCATAAGAAGAAAGCACTAAATAAAGAACTTGAATTTGTCTAAACGTCTTATGATTATTATTATTATTTTAATTAACATTTTTATTTCTACATACTATTGTACCAGTGATAACGGAAAGGTAAGTGTGTGGAAAGTGAGGATTGATATTATCATAGTACGGGAGATTATTTTTAACACAAAGGCTACGGCTGTGACCATTATAGTTGTTTTTTCAGACAGCACCAGCTTCTGCACTACTTCTTGCACTTACATCTCATCATTTCCAGGCAAGCTTCGGCAGCTACGGGCAAATCGGTCCATGTAGGCTCCATGTTGCTATCGACTCTGGTCCACACCCAACCAGTCGGATAAAGGGAAGACGGAGTCGGTTGCTTGCAACTGATCCTATACGCGAACCCCTTGATATACTGCCAGTAGCCAATGCTGATACAAAGCTGTCTGGGTTATTTTATGTAGGGTCACACCTAAGCGTATTCTACAGCGACCCATTAGGATCTTTATTCTCCCTTTTTTATTCCCTATCATCCAAAAAAATCCTGTCCATTAGTTAAGTGAATTAAGCGTCTGAGTGAAAGCCACCTAGTAGTCTTCTGATGCCGGATATGCTGACCCAAGCAGACCCATCCTTACAATATTAATAAGTGTTTCATGGACTCCACATTGTATTCCACATGCTCGAGAGCTTCTGTTGTTAGGCCCATTTTGTGGGACATGTGATTCGTTCCATAATGCCCAGTTTGCGTACCTGTAACTGCTTGGGCATACCTTTGAAAAGTTTTCTTTATGACCCTCTATTTCCCTGTAGGAATCATTTGGAGAGGCTTATATCGTTGGAGCTTTCCCATTCAGCCCTGTTATTCTTGGATATGGCCATATTATGGCCATGAGGTACCTAAGCTTTTAGATAAAGGTACTATCAGTTCTGACCCTTGTGTCGCTAGACTGTCGGCTCTCTCATTGCATTCGATCCGTGTATGTCCAGGTATCCCACATTAGGGACACTTTGTCATGCCTTCAGAGTTTGTTCATCTTTAAGATTGCATCTAGAATACCTAATTCTAGACTAAACCTTCACTGAGGCGATGGCTGCCTGGCTGTGGCTAAGGATGTAAATATTGCGTTTCTTACACCCCTGTTTTTAGTGCACACATAATTATAGCGTAGAATTCAGCTTGAAATACTGTAGCAAACCTCCTTAAACATTCACTGTGTTTATTACTACATGCTTGACTATGAACGAGTGCTGTGAGTGCCCACCAACCTAGGCAGTTTTGTATCAGTATATCAAGGGCAGTAATTATGTCCTTATGATTTTTTCAAATTATTTAAAATTAAGTTGGTTCAAGGGGTTCACGTATAGGGTCAGTTGCAAGCAACCGACTCAGTCTTCCCTTTACCCGACTGGTTGGGGGTGGACCAGAATCGATAGCAACATGGAGCCTACATGGACCAATTGCCGGTAGCTGCCGAAGCTTGCCTGGAAAGAAGTAGTGCAGAAGCTGGTGCTGTCTAAAAAAACAACTATAATGGTCACAGCCGTAGCCTTTGTGCTAAAAATAATCTCCCGTACTATGATAATATCAATCCTCTCTTTCCTCACACTTACCTTTCCGTTATCATTGGTACAATAGTATGTAGAAATAAAAATGTTAATTAAAATAATAATCATCATCATTAGACGTTTAGACAAATTCAAGTTCTTTATTTAGTGCTTTCTTCTTATGATATTTTCAATAATACAATGTATTTAAACTATTTTGAACCTTATTTCTTACACATAGAGTTCAAAATTAATTGAAGAAAAAATACAAATCATGGTAGCATGATGTGCCAGGAACTCTAAATAAATTCTAAAATAATAATCTTTACTTGCTTATGAACCAAATAGTATGAATTCATGGATAAGATAAATATTTTTTTCCGACGCGCATTAAAATTCGCCCGCTGTGTCCTGAAGAAAAATTTTTTTTCACCTACTTTTTTCAAAAAAAGTACCATACAATGGTATATATTTATAATCCTGATAAATGTAGCTTTCAGGACATATTTTTTTTATTAGATTATCTCCAGTGGTTTAAAAGTAAACGACGTTTATATAAAAAAATACTTTTTGGTTTTTGTGAATTTTACTCCATATTTCTATTTTTTTGTATGAAAAGGCAAAAAGTTTGTTCTAGAAATGAATTCGCCATCCTTTAATTATCCGAAAATGACACCACACTTGCCCTAATACCCATAGTTTTGAAGATATGGGCCTTAAAGTGAAGCACGGCAGAAGGAAACTTGCCCCCCCTCCCCCTGCTACCACAGGGGGGGCTCCCGATGTCTACCGACGGAAATCTACTCAGGAGCACCCAAAGAACAACTGGTGCAAAAATGAGCCTTCTATACCAAAGTGGAGGGGTCTTCATACAAATCATTGCACTAAATTCCCTACTAATGACGATCCGTGACAAACTGAAGTTTCACACGGGTGATGCTGCGGGCAAAAGCTAGTTCACAATAATAGTTTAAAGATTTCTTTTTGCTATTTATTAGTACTTTGAGGTATAATAACACGGCACGCAAATCGCAAACTCTAGCCAAATGGTGTCAGCTATAAAATAGTCCTTTGGCGTTAGAAGTAGGATGTAAGTGGTCTTATACGAGTAAAACCGCTCTTTACGATTTTACTTTCCTCACTAAAATTTTGTTCAGAAAAGCTATAAAATACTCTGAATTAGTTTTTAAGCGCCTCCTGCGCTCCTTTTGGAAAAATGGCTTTACAAAGTTTATAAGAAAGCTTGACTAGAGAAGGGCAAATAGATAGAAGGGTAGAAGTACCATACAGAAAGGAAAGAAATAAATAAAATAGACGATGTAATTTAGACGGTCTTATTGCAACAAAGCGAGCTCTTCCAATCGAGTGGACGTAGCGTGGGCAGGCCCTCCACTAGGTGGACCGACGATCCGGTGAAGGTCACGGGAAGAACCTGGATGCGGGCAGCGCAAGACCGGTCGTTATGGAAAGCCTTGGGGGAGTACTTAGTCCAGCAGTGGACGTCATTTAGCTGAAACGAACGAACGATCTCTTCCAAACAACCTAGAGGACAATTTGCTTAAAAGTTTACTGTTTTTATTTAATCTGGGAAACATATTTTGCGTCTACTCACATCCCCTACACTATCCGTTTTATTTAAACAGCGAACTCCGAATCGTTCCTCCGTGCAAAGAGTCGACACGTGGCAGAAACGTGTTCCTCCGTCCCTCAGGCGATGATCTGCCATCACCCTAATAACTACTCCCATAGGGCCAATATCCCTCAGCAAATCGCACAATAAAATACCGCGTAATAACTAATAACTCAGCTATTTGCTCTCGTGCCCTTTATTTGTAATTTTTGAGTCAATAGATACAACACGCTACTACTCGTACCAAGATTGCATTTTGTTGAAAGGGATTAAAAGTAATAAATGCCAATCGCTGGTGTCAAGTAGAGGCAATCAGTAAATCAAATTCATCCTTGTGAATAATTAAATTATTGCTTCTGTAATGAGGGCAGTAAGTACTGTGCCTTTGTACAGTCGCAAAAACCAATTGATGTAGCCTGAAGGACACCGTAAAGAATATTTTCAATTCATTCATGCTTTGTGAATAGAAAAAAACTAAAGCTTTAAGAAAAAATACTAAAAAGCAAAATAGAATAATACCATAATGTGCCTTTTTGACTCTGACTGTACGGTTTTGCAGCTACAACTGGCTTAGTCAAGCGAAGTGTGAACAGTTTTACCGAAGGAAGAATTAAATGTTATCTTCTATAGGTAATTTATTTATTTCAACCAATTCCAAACTCTCTCTATTTAATTTATAAGTTACGCGTTGCTTAGAACCTTCTTGTGATCTGCATTATTTGAATGACGACTAAAGGACATAAAAAACTATATTCGTCTCCAGCTGACGTCGAAACAAAATAGTGAAACGTCAGACTTTAAAAGCATCTGACGTTTCATCAAAAATGAAAATTTAAAATGTTTTATTTGTAATAAAATTCACAAAAAACCTATTAAAAAAATGGTAATACCCTAGTAAACTAAGCATACTTATCTTTATCTGGAAGCAGATACACTATTGGTGCAAAATGGCAAGGTATGGTATTACGTCAATTACAGTATTATTACCATAATTTGTAGCATTTATATCGATTTTGCTTGATTTTGCTGATCATATAGATGAAAATGACACACTTACTGTCGCCACTACATTGGTAGCACCTTTGTTTATATCAATTAAGATATACCTACACTCCTGTATGGTCAATGGTCATGCTCTTAAAGCAGTTAGTATAGGCTAACCGGAGACGATTTCCGTTCATACAAAGGTTCAATATAACTTGAACGCGAATCAAACCCGGAACCTCTCACCCTTTAACTTGCCACGGTACTGGTACGATTTCAATATAAATATCAGCTTCGTGTTCATAATATAAGTTAAATAAGTTAATAATAGACAAAGGGCCATGATACTTAAATTCACCAACAAACCTAATTTTATGAACACCAGTTTCATAACTACTTCAATTTTTTTTTAAATAGTGGCACGTTCAAACTTAAAGGTTCGCCATCCCTGCGTTAGATTAACAATATTCGCTCTGCTGTAAGGGGAAGTAAGTACGTTCAGGATGTATGAATTCTACTATCGGAGGTGGGTAATAACAGCCTGGAAATGTACGCATGAAGAGAGTTGTTCATTTGAATGGTCGCATGAGTGAGTAGAAGCTTCGAAGCATATACTGGCTTAGATCTCAACTATGGCTACATATAGTTATTGGGCTGAACACTATTTCGAATCTTAAGACATTACATGAAACTACGTGCCATTAAATTAACACCTAATGCTATCAAGTGGCACCACTGGTGAGTGACACGACCTTACTCTACAGTGGCACTAACTGATGACGGCAAATACGATAGCTCATAATCAAAACACATTATTTACTATTGAATTACTGAATTTGTGATTGGTGGCGTGCCCAAAATATTATGTCGCGTGCCATTGGTTCGCCAACCCTGATCTAACGCATTTAGCTACATTATATTCTAGCGTTTAATAAGTTGGATACCCTCCGTATCAGAAAGACTAGTAAAATGACCTTATTAAATTCGATACAGCCAGAAGAAGTTCCTTAAAAAGCTCCTTTTTTCTTTTTAGTTTGAGATTCTAATACTAAGTAACTTTTTAAATGAACAACTTGAAAAAATTGAACTGCTAAATCGTGGGTTCAATTCCCGCCTTAGGAAGTTCGATTATTTCAACTTTAAAAAAATATTAGCCTAAAGTTCAGCTACAAAATTAACCAATTAGCGGTACGGTCAGAAAGAAAAATGCGTATCAAATCCTAGATCTAAAATCACATTTCAATAGAAAATCGTAATTAATCGAAAGCACAGCTTGCGATTTGGGTGCATATTCTAGATGCAAATTGGAATCTTGCATCTATGCTTGAGCTAAATCATATATTAAATCAAAATTGCATGCCGTTGAAATCAATAAGACATGCTCGTACGGGTACACCAGTTGGTTTAGTCAATGTAGATGCAAATGTTTCTCGGGATTAGGTTTTGGCTTAAGTGTCGAAAGCTACAGACCGCAAACCAAAAGCAGTTCTGCTGATAAGTTACTTCTACTAAATCACTGATTGCCAAGCGATAAGTCATAATGTTGCTATAAGTAAGCTGCCCTAAACAAAGCGATATTGAACGTGCAACACCCTTCCTATGAGTTAACCAAACAATAAAATGTGATGTTAAAAAGTCAGTTCGAATTCTAAAAAATCACAAATACCTAGACTTGGATTTATTCGTCCAAACAAATAGAGAAAATCACGATACTACTTTTTATTTACGTGCACTGTGAGCGATGCTTTATGCATTTTCGACAGAACAAAAACCGCGGTTCGCTCAGCGTTCTAATAAATACCCGTTGACGCTGCAAACCTCTTTCTATAGGTACCTTTATAAAAGTCAAAAGTCAAAATTTCTTTATTTGTTTGGACTAATAAATAGTTCTTACAAATCGTCATTTTGCTCTTAAGGAGCCTCTACATGTCTCATAATCTTTTTACCCTACCAGCGCTTCGAGACCAACATTTGGCAAGTGCTGAGAAGAAGCGCCGCAACAAACTCAGTCACCACTGTCTGCCGGTTAATATAAATAAATAGAAATAGTAGTAGTAGGTACATTCGATTCAGGAGCAGTTCACTGAATTTACCATGCATTCTTGTATGGTGTATCTTATAAGAATGGGTATACAAGATTGCGAGGTATATTAAACAAGGTAGTGACGTGCTAATATCTAGACTTACATATTAAGATACTAGTAGAAATGACTCGCATACATAAATTTGAATAACTTGGATTGACCAGTCCCCGAAAGCAGCGCCTGTTCACAGACATGACGAGTGAACCATAGAAGAATAGTTATAGAAGTAGTCTCTACCTCTATCTATGCCATTCCAGCGTTTGGTGTTCCGCATATTTGGAGACACCAGCCACGGCTCGGGTTTGTCGAGTATCACACGGTTAAACGGCCCGACTAAAATCCGGCTGAAACTGAAAGCATTCGACGATCTGTACTTTTTTTGGGGACGCACTTCAAAAGGGCAAAGTGAACAACGGCAAAAAGTATCGCCTTTCTAAAAACTACTGTGGACTGTCGAATATCGAGCGTGGTGGGGTGTTCGATTGAAAAAGAAGGCCATTGTGGTTTTGTGAAACTAATGGATTTTATCGAATGCATTTTTTTTAATAAGTTGATATTCATGTTTGACAACCGTTTAAAGCACAGAGATTGGATGGGGACAAGCCACAGTCATACCAATTGTAAACTTTATAAGCACATTATTATCAGCTGGACAAAGGGCTCTACACGGATTCCCATAACGATTGGCCCTATGTTGCCCGCTCAGGTGTTACCTACACGCGACCTTTTCTGTTTTGTCCATTGAGTGGTTGGCCTGATTGGTTGGTCCATGCCATGGTTGCCACTCTTTCTGCCTCTGCTGCCATCAATTCTACGAGCTTTGCCCTTTTAATAATTTAATTATCTCCTTTTCCAGTTGTTGTACATGTTCCGGTGGATCCAGCGGCGCACAGTCGAGCTTGCCCCTGATATGTCTCGTGCCGCGCGACGCGGCGGCCGCGGGCAAGGCCGGGCCCGGGCCCGCGGGCAAACCGCGCCCGATCTCCGCGGGGACGGCCCAAAGCGACTTCCAGCTGCTCGACGAGGCTTACATCAAGAAGCACTTCAAGCTGCCGCAGCGCTCGCTGTACTTGGACCCATTCAGGTACGCATAGATCTATTTATTTCATCACCAGCTTTCCGCCCGCGGCTTCGCCCGCGTGGTATTTTGTCTGTGAAAGAAAAACTTTATCGCGCGCGTCCCTGTTTCAAAAGCCGGGATAAAAAAATATCATAATATGTTCTTTCCCGGGACTCAAACTATCTCTATGCCAAACATTAAAATCGGTTCAGTGGTTTAGGCGTGAAAGCGACACAGACAGACAAACAGAAAAGCAGAGTTACTTTCGCATTTCGGTTGTTCACACAAGGTATCTCGCGGCCTGTATTTCAGCTAATGGAAAGTATGATCAGACCAAAGTTAGAAGCGAGATCCGTCCTCCAATTTTGCCACACTGGGAATAGGACCCGGGAATCTCTGAATCTGAGACAGTAGGACTTGGATTGGGTCTTAGATTCAGCTGCTACTACCACTTGACCTCAGAGACAATTGTATGTATTCCAGACGCCCCCTCATCACGTTCCCCATGACACAAGAAGACGTGAAGCACTTCAACTTGGCCCGAAAGTACAAGATCAACCAGCAGATACTGGACGGTTTCTTGGACCCGAGCGAGGCGATATCTGCTCCTAGCGTCTTTGTAAGTATTCTTTGTAGTCATAAGATCAACCAGCAGATACTGGACGGTTTCTTGGACCCGAGCGAGGCGATATCTGCTCCTAGCGTCTTTGTAAGTATTCTTTGTAGTCATAAAATATACAGGATGTCCCAAAAAGTAGTGTCAAGCCGAAGCCCAGAGGTAGAGCAGCATTAGGGCTACCCGAATCACCGCGAATTTTCTTCGTCTTGACACTACTTTTTGGGACATCCTGTTTATCAGGTATATGTATAGCTTTTACCCGTGACTTCGCCCGCGCGAATCTCGGTCTGTCACCGATTCCCCTTTTAAAAAAACAGGATAAATGATCCGTAGGTCTCGAAACTACCTTTAAGAATTTATTAACCTTCCTCTTATTATTCTTACAGCCGTATGCAAAGACAGAAGCAGAAAAACGAAAAGAAGCAGATGACGATGAAGAAATCATTTACATTCTACAGCTTCCAGACTGGGAGTTCCAGTGTCCAGTGCACAATCAAACTATCAGAACTCCAAGGTACCTCACAGGGAAATTCAATAAAATTGTCTTGGTGACAGCAAGGCTCATAAAATGTTTGTTACGCCATCTAGTTGTCGTGAAGGAACTCTCTCGTAGCCTCTAACTGCGCCATCTAATTGTCATAATGAAACCATCTTGTAGCCTCTTGCTGCGCCATCTAGTTTTTTGATACGGTACTTTACATTTCAAAGAGTAACGCCATCTATATTTTCATTCTGAAACTACACCAAGGTGTATGTATGCCGACTGTTACTTTTGGAATACAGGCTGTAATTTAATATTTTATTTTTGCACTTTTTGAGTTCAAATTAACTACATAATATTAAACATACACTATCTCATGTAGTCCTAATGCTGTACACTTCAAAAACTTATGAGGCTATTTTCCATTTCAGATTTATATGGCATTCGTGCAAGAAAGACAAAAAAGGAAAGAAGGGAGAGTTGAAGCAAGGTGGAGGACCATTGAACAAGCCAAAGCCCTGGCTCCTCAGCAGGCATACAGACTTCGACTTGCTATCACAGTGGTAGTGTGCAATTAAAATGTTTCGGTTCAAATCAGATGATAAGCATTATAGCGTCCATAGTGAAAAATAAATATCATGAATCCTAACTTCTTTGTAGTATTATTTTAAAAGGCTTTATTTAGATAGGGTCCTCGCAGTTCATGAGTAGGTTTAATAAAAAATGGATAAGCTTGAGTTTGATTACATACCTATACTCAGGTATTTATTTTTTTTTTATTTCCGGCTTGACGTCTAGTAAATGTAAACTCTTTAAGATTCTGTAAAAAACAAATTCCTTTTTTTGTGAAAGAAAAAAATATTCAAGTGACAATTCAAAAACTTGTGTCAAATGGTCAAAACATAAAAAAAATTGTCTGAAAATTTTGTGTGATTTATTTATTTGAAAATATTAAAAACAAGTTTAATAATCATAATGACCGAGAAAGATTTGTTAGCAAAATTAGCCAATGTGTAAGTCAAAGTTTTGCATTGTTGTTGAAATAAAGGTGGTGAATTTAAACGATGATATAATTTATTTGATATCTTCTTTACAGACCATTGGCAAAGCCTGGTTTCGATGCCCTTGGTATGTCGGCTCCTGTTCTTGTACAAATGAACCCTGATGGTAAATGGGAAAATACTAAGCCAGGGAATCTAGATGAGGAACGTCTGAAGGCTGTTGTTCAACATCTAGTCAATTCAAAAGCTGTGTCTGCAGCTCAAAGCTATTGCTGTCAGTGTGCTAAAGACAGCCAGGTATAAATAATTTTATTATTTTTTCAAACGAATCAACCAGTCACGTCTCCAGAATGAAAATTTGACATCATTTTTTTATACATTTTGCAGAAAGAAGGAGGAAAGTCGAATTATGTACCTGTTATCATGATGCCCATTTACCCTGCTGATCAATGCCCTTTCGACATGGACTGCGAAGTACAAAAAATCAAAGAAGCAGAATCAAAACCCTCTAAAAAGAAGGGAAAAGACGAAAGTGCGAAAGAGAGTGAAAAAGAGAAGGAAAAAAAGAAATCAAAGAAAAAGGGATTCACTTTACAGCGGCTAACTGATTTTGACTTACTTTCACAGTGGTGAATTTGTGAGTTTGAAGCTACCTTTTGATTATGGCGTTGGTGTGGTATTGTGAACGACTGTCCTGTGCTTACTGAAAAGAAACTTTGAACAAAAGTTAAATTACTAATAAAATTTTGGAAAAGTTAGTTATATTTTGTTTCAACACATCAAAAATTTTACTATTACTTTAAGCTGGTAAGCAATTAAGTATGGGTAGCAATGGGAATTTGAATTGGGTACATATTACTAATCATATTAAAGACCACGATCACCTATCAGGAACTTGTCAGTGTGTTATAAACTAACATTTTATTATTAAGTTTTAACTCTTCTGTGTTGAAAATGTAGGTAATTTAACATTTAAGTTTCTCATTCATACACATCTTTGATATCGTAGCTTGCAAACCTACTTCACCATAAATCGCATCTGAAATATTGAGATTTCTCGATTATGATGAAAATAAACTAGGTTCAAAATGTTTAATTTACGTAAAAAAAAAAGCCATCGACTGGTTTCTGTGGGGTTTTGTTAGGTGGGCTTGTAGGATTTCGTTCCAGAGAATCCTTTTCGCGCCCTAAAAGTCAATACATAGAGATGCGATGATTTATTCAAAATAGAAACGATGTCGCAGATGGCGCTAGAGTCGAACTCTATGTTATATCAGTACGTTCGATACGATAACAACTCGATACAATACGTACTAACTCATCGAATGGTGGAAAATTATTTTTAGTGATGGCAACATTCACTCCTTTATATTGTCTATGGCTGATGGCCGACCACGGTGTTTGAAGTCAATGAAATAGATTGATGCACATTGCAATATTATTTTTTTAGTTCATTTCAATAATAAAATTATGTTTCTATAATAAAATCAAGCAAAATCAATGAAACCTTCAACGGACTAACTTATCAAAGGTAAGTCATCGTGAAACGAGACGCAGACGTGGAGTACGTAATTGGTCTCTCATCCCACTTTTTATGTTTTCACACCTATCCTTTCAAAATCCCAGACAGAGCTATTTAGCTGGGATGCGTTTCTGCGCATCCCGCTATCTCTAGTTTGTATAGGTCATCAGTGAGCTAGCCTGGATGGCTGGAGCTGGAAAAAATGCAAAGGTTAGTGAATTTCGCCATAAAGTGTGATAGTGTGCATTTTTTTTCGTATGGACAGATGCAAGTGAATCCTTGTGCGTAGAATGAAAAAAAAATATTCTCACGCTCGCGGGTCCTTTGTAGAAATTCTTTTTGAAATCACGATTTGAGACACATGTGGTACACTTCCTGTATCGTGTTGGAAATTATATGAGGTCGTTTTATTGTCACGTAGGTATGTCGTTGTTTTTCGTAATGTAGTTCGTTGCAGTTACAGCGTGCTTAAGCTGTCGCAATTTGTGCAGTATTATTTTCGTGGTGTGAAAACTTTTTATGCACCTCATATAAATTAGGTTGGCCTTGATTATGACATTGGTGCAGATGGTTTTAATGAGCTAGGTGTTGATCTCGGCTCTGACCTTACTCTGTAGCCCCAGCAATTCCTTTCAATTGCCTGCTTATTATGTGCTACTCAGTTGTGTGCCCATCAATCAATAATTGCAACAAGAAAAGGGGACATTTTCTAGTGCATTGCATACAGCAAATGTGCAGTGGAGCTGAGCAGTCTTTTTGTTCATTCAACATTTTCTAGCTGATCAATTTGAAGCATTGGTTTGTGTTTTTCAGTCAGTAGTTTCATTAGTAATATCTGTATCATAAGCCCACACCCCATACTTCAATTAGTGATCCTGTTAACTTAGTATCAGATTAATGTTAGATTAAATTTTTAACACAAGTAATCAGTTATTTTCAATTCAGCATTATCATATTCTTCAGTACTTTCTATTAATTTTGGAAGTCTTATTTATTCTAAAACATCTTCATTTCTTTGTTCCTTTTTGCATTTACAGTCATTGGCTGTGAATGTCATCTCATAAAGTTAAGACAAAATCAAACTTTAATATTATGTGAAGAGTAATTTGTAAGTTAATTACATTTTATGAATTAGTGATGAATTTCCCATCAAGTATTCAGTCATGAATTTGAGAATTAACAATCATCAGTTAATTTTATGAGTATGCAAATTAGATGCATCAACTAACTTCTCAAATCTGTCAATTGATCAAATAACCATATTTAATTTAAAAAAAAGTATTTTTTATAAAATATTTTGTTTCAAAAGTAAATGAAACAATAATTATCACTTAAAATACCAACCATTTACACACTTACAAACAATCCATTGTAATTTGTGCACAAAGCTATCCACTACATGCTGTGCTCTGCTTGAATACGTGATTTCCGCGCCAAATTCCGCGATGTCGTGATAAACTGCAGATTCTTAACAGAAAGATTATTCTTGAATTAAAAAGTGCTTATGTGTTAAACTTCAAACACGTCCCAAAGCCACAATTCTTCCTAGGCTTGTGGCTGTCATAATACTAGGTTTAGCTTGCTGGAAATGGATTCACTCAGTTATTAAATGATGTTTCAAAGTAAATAATTGATAGTTCTGATAACATGCATTTTCATTTGAACACACTATGTCAACAGTTAATTGTGCTTACCTTATTACATGGCAGTGACCATAGTGTGCATAAAATAGTGGGTTACTTTCAACAAGGTAAATGAATAGTGTTGGTATGCAATCAAGTGATCCGGTACATTCTGGATTGGAAAAAATACAATACATTTCAGTTAATTTAATAAAATGTTGCAGTTGTAATCCTGAATCTTGGTTGTAAAATTAGTAATAATTTTATTGATAACATAATTATCTCAATAGACTATTTGACACCATTCCCCAATCATTCGAAATCACAACTTTTTAAAAAAGACACTGAACTTCATTCTGGTCTTAAAAACTTAATTAAATTTAAATTACCTGTATATTAAGATTTTTCGTTGCATTTTTGTAATTGAAAATATTGAGTTGGCAAAATAGTGATGTCACTTGCTTGTATTGCCATACAAAATCTATGGGAGTCTTGTTTTGACAGTTAAAAAGTACCTACGTCGATTGGTGGTGTTGGTGGTGTGAACGCGTCTATTTTAATATTATTTTATTGCATTGTTGCAGACATCCCGCCCATGCACCGAGAAATTCGAGACAAGTAACAGTAAGTTTTTTTGATACATCGCTTTATTGTGCATTTATGTGTTATAATTTGGTATTCTTACAAATGTATCTTTTCAGTTCAATATCCACTGCAGGATGGATCCATCATGTTCACAATCCAAGTGTGATATATTTGAGGGGCCCGGCCAGGCGCCCTTCTCCAATGCAGAGAATAAGACTGATAGGCAAGCCAATATGGTAGACAAGGAACTAAACAGTCCAAGTAGTAGTAGGCAGCCGATCGACGACATAGAACGTGAGGATTTTGAGGAGGAGAATCGTATCATCAACCAATGCTCGAGCATGCTGGTGGATGGGAAAAACCCAGCTGCGGGTCACTTCTCAGGCGGCCTGAGCGGCAACTCGAGCCTGGCTTCCAGTTCGGAGGCCATCGCAACATATCCCATGCCCAACGACTACAGCTTGCCGGGCTGCAGCAAAAGCAGTGACTGTGATGATAGCAATACTACAATTAAGAATATGATTCACTCTCGGAAGCCTTACGTGGTGGCGGTGGAGGAGCCTAAAGTCGACTTTATGCAGAAGCTGTTAAGCAGTAATACTCATGAGAAGAAAGACTTCCCTAAAGGGAAAATGTATAAAGCCGACCAAGATCTCGAAAATGAAAGCGGTGCATGCGGTCGGGATGCCGAGGCGGGGATGAGTTCCAATGCGTTGAGCAACAGCCCTCTGTCGGACAGCACCAAAGACTTCAGCGTGCCATCAACGTCCAACGCTGACAAGTTGCTCGGCCTCAGTGACAGCGGTAGAAAGAATGAGCCGGGGAGTTCAAAGTCATCGGTGAGTTTTTTTTTTGGTGTTTCTTTCTAATGTTGTAAATTAATAAGCATTTGTTTATTGTTTAACTACACATTTGTTTTAGGACTACAAGCAGTACTGTGAAGGTGACGATGAATCGGATGATGATATGAATGAGGATACCTGGTGCACTTGCCTGTCGTCTCATGAGGTTTGTATTTCAAAGTTTTTAACCGCTATTTGGTATGAACAAAGTAATAACTTTGTTTTTTTATTTACCAGGATGATGAAGACGATGATGAGCCCGATCCAGATGCGGAAAGACTATGGGTAAGTCAAATGTTCAATAACTTATAACAGTCCCTTAGTAAAAGTTCTTTTAAAACGAATTTTTTCAGTTACATCGAACTCTCAGAACATATTTTTATTCAAATTTCAACTTAGGCATTTTTTCTTCAATTCGAACTGATAGATCTTCATAAAAACAATCCCACCAAATAGGTTTGATCCTGAAAGAAAATCGTTTGACGTAAACAATTTTCCACCTTGTTTACATTTTAGTCGGTATAATTTATTGAAAATTCCAGGTGAATGGTTGCTCAAACATTCATGAACCGTTACGCCTTACGACATTATTTAAATTCTGCATATATGATCGGGTAATCAGTATCTGTCTCATGTATTATTAATTTAGTTCTCCCGATACATAAACATTGTATTTCGATACGGAATAGGGTAATTGGTGTTGTCCCGTGAGGTAGATGCTGATTCGTTGGGACAGGACACAATATTAGTTTTCTTCAGTAATATTACGTTGTGTCGTTTTACTTGTGGGACGTTTTTGGTTTGCCATGAGTAGAGTGAGCATTTTATCATTGTACATATTTAGCATTTGGGGGATTTTACTCGGCCATAGCTTTTTAGATTATTTCTTGATCTCTTTTTTATCTCTGTGGTTTATAGGGAAATTGTGGGTCTATGTATTGGTAGGCCCTAGGTTTGGTTTCCAGATGGGATACACAAAATGGGATTAAGTGTATTTTTCCCCGCAGAAATAAAAAATCTATAAAATGAAAATACCACATCACATGCCACGTTACCATACACCAAGTGAGTGTAGATTGTAGATATTGCATAAGGAGAAACTGCATCATCAAATTCAGGAAAAAATGGTGCTGACTCTGTTTTCTATACATTTCGACGAACTTTTGCTTATTTCGTCTTTGACGTCTTGATTGCCTAATCAAATTATTTAAAACTGTAATATTTTATTTAACTTTTTAATAAATGGAAAGGAAATAGATAATTCAAAATTTGGTTGAAACTGTAGTCTTCTAAACATCTTCATTTTTAACGTAGTAAGTCAATTATCAACGAAAAACGGGAGCACTAAATTAGTAATCCTCATATCATATTAATGTAATTGGATTATTTTTAGACGTGCCAGGCTTGATGACATATTTATTATGAAGCGACTTACTGAAAATATAGTTGTTTTCTTATTCGTTTATTTATAGCAACCTTGCAATTAGGTACTGTGGAATATTTCACTAATCAGGCATTGTTCTTTTGTATAAATTGTCATAAACTTCAATATCTTAATTAGTTAATAGGTCTTTTACAAGACAGCTGTAGTTCCCCAGCTTTGATTCATATGAAGAATGCAACTCAGTAACTTATTAATCCTATGATTAGGGGCATTCTTGAAATTTTAATCAAGAATTGCGCACTGTATCAGGCTGTGACAAATTTATTTAATTCTCAATATTGCTAGACCTTATGACAAAGATTTTTTTTGTGAATAGTCTGGAACCTCTGATATTTGGCTTAAGACCTGAAGTAGCAATAATCCTGCAAATAGGTTTTGCTGCTGTGAGAAATAGTGGGAGAAGCGATTGTTGTAGAAATCTATTAGATCAGGGCTTCAGAAGCCAGCATTTAACCATCCAATGACCCACTTTGACGTTTGACGTCAATCCAAACCTTATATGCAAATTATTATTATAAGTTGCCGCTAGTTATAAAGTGTCTCTTGCAGAGGAAGAGACGGTACGAACCTCCGCCGCCGCAATGCGCCAAGAAGTTCTGCTCCGAAGGCAGCAGGCAAAGCCAGGAGGCCTGGTCCAGGACCCTGGCTGCCGGCATGCCATCCACCAGCTCCATGCAAGGACCTCCGGAGATGGAACAATGGCTTAGCAGGTAGGTTTTGCAGGGCAATCGAATACCGCACTTAGCCTCCTGATTGGGCCATTGTGCACGATTTGCATTGTCTTGAAATCTAACTTGAATGTTTCGTGTATAGCTCGCGTAGCAAGAATTGAGGCGATCAAATTAAAATTCAAATAGTTTTTAAGTACATAGGCCCTTGGTAGGGCACTTATACACGTCCCAAATATAGCTTGCCCTACCTACGTAACAGAAGCGAAGATTTGTATCGTTTACGTCGGCGTCTTGTGTATTCTGAATGACTTGTGTGTTCTGTATTCATTACTGTGTGTATTATGTGTTTGCCTCAACTTTGGTTGCGCGACCTATAATACACACGGCGGCTGTGTCGCCAGTTTTTTAGGGTTCCGTAGCCAAAATGGCAAAAACGGAACCCTTATAGTTTCGTCATGTCCGTCTGTCCGTCTGTCCGTCTGTCCGTCTGTCCGTCTGTCCGTCTGTCCGTCTGTCACAGCCGATTTACTCGGAAACTATAAGTACTACAGTGATGAAATTTGATGGGAATATGTGTTGTATGAACCGCTACAAAATTATGACACTAAATAGTAAAAAAAAGAATTGGGGGTGGGGCCCCCCATACATGTAACTGAGGGATGAAAATTTTTTTTCGATGTACATACCCGTGTGGGGTATCAATGGAAAGGTCTTTTAAAATGATATAAAGTTTTCTAAAAAACATTTTTCTTAAAGTGAACGGTTTTTGAGATATCAGCTCTCAAAGTCGTAAAAAGTATGTCCCCCCCCCTCTATTTTTATAACTACGGGGTATAAAATTCTAAAAAAAATAGAGGTGATGCATGCTAATTAACTCTTTCAACGATTTTTGGTTTGATCAAAGTATCTCTTATAGTTTTTGAGATAGGTTGATTAAATTGACATAATAAGTTTATTATATTTGCTGCTACGGAACCCTTTGTGCGCGAGCCCGACTCGCACTTGGCCGGTTTTTTTATTTGAACTTGGCTGGACGCGCTGCCGCGTGACGACATTTTGTTGTTTCAGAGTAGAATTAGCTAGTTATAGTGCCACAGAAGTACCATCAGACATAATTATAAACAGTGTTCGAGGATATATATCAAGGGATATATATCTTGATATATATCGGATATATATCCGATATATATCAAGCCGGTTTTAATGATATATATCAACTTTTAAAATTTGTTACTGTATTTGTACTTTTTGACATAAGATTTTTATTTTTTTAGTGGAGTTTGTCGTATTTATAAGAAATTTTATGTTTTTGCTTTATTTGTCTGATTTTAAGTTTTAAAAACATTAAAAACATGTTTATGTAACACTTATGCAATAGTATTCATGAATAATACAATAAAATAATAGTATGGCTTTCATACAAAATTGATATACAACGTGTCCCAAAATTCAAGGATAAGCCGGCGCCGCAGGGTGGACATAGTCATGACTGCTTTAGGAAAAATAAGAAAAAAAATCTATCTCAATTATTTTTTAAGTTACACAATAAATTATGAAATTCGTCGAAAATTGACACCCCT